GTTCTTTATACTGGAAGGCGCCCTATATCAACTCCAATGATGTGTCGATGGGATAGGGGGTGAGGGGGGAGCTGCGGAGGAGATGGAGGAGAGCTTCGACAGGACGTTGTTCTGGCCGCCCCCGGCCCCACAGACCAGGCCACCCCAGTAGCTGCCGTCGGCCACGGTCTTCTCGTATGCCGCCCAAGCCTTTGGGTTGACGTCGCCTTCCCTTGGGAGGGGTTTGGGTTCAGGTTTAAGATTCAGTCAGGGTTTCTTGTCCAGGGTTTTTTGTTTGGGGCTTGGTGTTCAGGGTTGGGGTTCAGGGTTTAGGGTTCAGGGTTTAGGGTTCAGGGTTTAGGGCTTAGGGTTTAGGGCCTTTCCAAGGATCTTACAATCTCGAAAAGCCTTTATGCTGCGTCATAGGGACTCCTAACGGCTCTTCAAGCGTGGGCCTTGATTTGAGCCATCATAGGGACTACCGTGAAAAACGTGCTTTCCTCATTGTGGTAAGCTCAACTCTTAAGATAAAGTTCCCGAATCAGTACCCGGGCTCCTGCTGATGGGCTCGCCATACCGCGTCACCGAGGGTGGATACTTGTACCATCCGCTAGTTTGAGTGTAATCCGTGTCCACATACTGCCAGTAAGTACTGGCGGAGCAGCCGAGATCCGAAAAACGTGCCAGAAACCATGCCAAAGTTTCCTGGGCTCTTGGCGCTTATAACGGCCGATAAGGGTCGGATAAGATTTCCGCAACACATTACAAAAGCTTTTTCGTTGAGGGTCTTAGCTTCAAGTAAACGAAGTAGATGTGCGTTCCTAAGTACTGCAACTTACACTAAGCTCCTTAATCCCGGTGCAACAAGCCGGTCACAACGCTATTCAACGGCCTTATGAAACCCCATTTTAAAACAAAAACTGTCAAAGAAAGGCTGTGGCAATTAACCTAAGATTCCCAAACCCCTCAAGTAAGGAGTGTAGCCTACACAACGGAGGAGGGACCTTGTAAATTCTCCAGTCTGGTTCATTATAATTTTCCGGGTGCCCGGCACAAATCCTTGTACAAAAAACTACCCTGATCATGTACCGTAAAAAGACTTAAGTATCAAACAACGACCCTCGCTTATTCAAAAAAACAAGTTTCTCAACAAAACCCCAAACCCTCAACCCTAAATTCTCACCCAGCTTCCCCGTCAGGCATGTAGAACTCCGACATGAACAGGGGCGATGAAGCCATGAGCTCCTGGGTGCTCATGCTAGGCTGAAGCTATCCCCGCCAAGAAATAACGTTTTGAAGATAGGGTTTTGCAGATGGCTTATGGTAGAGTGCGGTATCTTTCAATTTTGCTTGATTGTCCATTCATTGTGGCTGTTTTCAGACTATTCCGGTTGTTTCGGAGCTTGAACATTAAGCGGGAGCATGTTCTGGCCGACTTCGATCGCAAATTTCGAACTTTCTGTCGGTTGAGTTGGAGCACACTTGCATGCTAAAGCCTCCCGAGGGATATTTGCCATCTTGCGTATAATAAGCCAATGTCACAGGTCGATCTCTTAACCTCTGGAAGCCAAACTGAGCTTGCTCCAGAAACTTCACTTAAATTGAACTTTCCGACTTTGATCCCGTGAGTTCAGTAATGTTGTCACATGATATAAAGCGTTCATGCGGGATGTCCGTCATCTATAGCTCTCATGTCGTGTCTTCTAATGTGATATCCATGGACCGTTTGTGTCGCCATGTCATCTTTTACAGTGTTCATAGAAGAACCCTAAACCCTAAACCCTAAACTCTGAAGTCTGTTTAGCTAGTTCTGCAGCAACTGGTTCTGTATACAAGCCGTTATGCAATTTCGTGTTTGTATTGCGGTCCTCCAGAGGATGACACCTGCGCATCGCGACATGGTGATACGGCTGATGATATATACCCTACATTGCCCATAATAAGGATAATGGACCATGATTCCCATAGTTTAGGGTGCTTAAGGTAATGCAGGAATTATATGATCAACACCCTAAACCCTAAACCCCTAAACCCCTAAACCCCGAAACCCTAAACCCCTAAACCCTAAACCCTTATGGAGGTCATAGATCATCAACAGTAGGGGGTGTGCTTCAAGAAATTAAATCTAAGGACTTTAGGAGGGACCCCCAATAGGGACCCTTAATCCCANNTAACCTACAAGGGTCCCTATTGAGGGTCCCTCCTAAAGCCCTTAGAACCCTAAACCCTAAACCCTAAACCCTAAACCCTAAACCCTAAACCCAAACCTACAAGGGTCCCTCTAAAGAGTCAACAACCTACGAGGGTCCCTATTACGGGTCTCTCCTAAAGCCCTTAGAGATTTGGGTCAGGGGTACTATGGGAGCCTCTTTTCGGAAGCCACTGGGTCTCTACTAGGGCTCTTTAAAGGGATCCCCAGTTATCCCCGGGTTATAGGACCAGAGTTTAGGGTTTTGGGGTTTAGGATTTAGGGTTTTGGGGTTTAGGGTTTGGGGTTTTGGGGTTTAGGGTTTAGGGTTTAGGGCTTTGGGTTTTGGGGTTTCAGGTTTCTTAATCAGGCTCCTGCATTATATGGGTGTCTGAGTGAGTTAAGGGATCTCAACAGTGTCCCCCAACCGCATAATGTCGCGCTTACATCGCGATGTTATCATCTGCAGTGCTTCTGTCGTACGGAGGACAAAGCCTAACAAAGTTGTGCGTATTGCTGATGGTTCGGCTGAGAGACCACATGAGAAACCCTTAGCCTAAACCCCAAACCCCACTCCGTAAACCAAAGCTCTTGTGGGATCCAAACCCTGGGTGGGTAGGTATGCGATGCTCCCTAAACCCTAAACCCTAACCCTGCTGAAGACCCAGCTTGCCTAGCGAATGCTTGAACTGGAGGTGCCGAACACCAAGCCCCGGGGTGTAGGGATTAGGGCGTTTCAAACCCCGTCTCAAACCCTAAACCCTAAACCCTAAACCCTAAATCCTAAACCCGAAACCCTGAACCCTGAACCCTAAACCCTAAACCCTAAACCCTAAACCGTAACGAGGAAATAAGATGAGCTCCTTGGATTCCTCCTTCGCCACATTCACGAACTCCTCGGCTCGAATAACCTGGTTGTGGGCTAAACCTTGGTTCCGGTTCAGGGTTTAGGGTTTA